CCAACCTCACGCCCAGCGCGACTTCCTGATCGGAGTAGAATGTGGGCCTGGAAGTGCGAAAAAGGGGTGTGCCAAGGATTTTTGGGAAAGTGGAGTCCCTGGTCAGAACTGCGATCTCCTGTGGCCGGGTTTTTCGGGGGCACGGGTGCAATTGGCGAAGAGGGCGGACCGCCTCAGGTCATAACCGGGATGTTAGGCGTGGGTTTCCTAAGGCCGGGYGAGCCACTGGTTCCGAGGACGGTGATTYGTGGGAGGGTCCCTTCGGGGTGGATGGGAGTCCGATGAGTCAGGCCGTCGGAAGCTGCCACGTGGCGCCGGTCGTCGTGCGTTCGGGTTAGGCCTCCGGAATTCCGGAGTTCTCTGATCGCCGCGTCGTCGGCAATTTCCGCAGGGTGTGCTGGGCCAATAGGGGGCTATGGCCGGCCACGGGATGACGTTGAGCCGATGATACGGAAGAAGAAGTCGGAAGGGAGGGAAGCTAGTGTAGATAACGACAAATCCGGGGTGGATAAAATAGTAGGTATGGTCCGGGAAGGGGAAATCARAGCACCGGGGATCGCTGGTAGTGGCGCAGTGAAATTCCCGAGGTTACAATCGATTATCGGTTAGGCAAGGGTACCTCTGTCGAAGGGCTTCGTTTATCTAAGGGGTGAAGTAATCCGGATCGTATGATGAGTCAGAATTCTAGGATCGCGTCATTGTGTCATTGCGGAGTTACGAGTTGCCTAAGGGCGGGTCCGTGGCGATCGCGGTTGCCTCGTGCGAGCACGTGCAGGCCACGCGAATTACGGCGGGCTTACGCGTGTTCGTGCGGGACGACTGCACCGTCGCGGACCCCGGGACGGCTGCGTCCAATCAGATAGTGCGTCTGTGATCGATGGTCACTTTGGGATTGACGAATCGACGCCCGGGAATACGTGTAAGTGCGCAACTCAGATCGCTTTTTATACGTGTCCTCGCGCAGCATTCGTCGAGCACGGCATCTGATCGTCTAATCACTCCGTGCTTGTTTGAGCATGCAAGATGCAATAACCACAAGCAGCTCAATCAAAAGATACGCGAAGACAAGGACAGGATTACCGATTGCACAAAATTTCTATTCTACTTACGAGTGCATCAAATGCAACAAACAAAAGCAAAGACAAGGATCCGGTAGAAAGATAGGCAATCGAACTTGGCATCCATACATCCATTCACTCAGCAATCATACACACAGTGCATCAGAGGTGGAAATCGCAAGGACAAGTGTGAGAAAAAACCCAARTCCAAACTCCGAAAAACAGAAATCGGGCAGATCTCCCAGAGCCGAAATCAAAATTTATATACACGAGACAGGAGGGGRAAAAAATAAAAGAAACAGAAAATCTGCGTCCATCAACCTCAACTCTCCCTTCCTCTCTCTTCTTCTCCGATGCGGACAGTCCGTCGTCACGCACCAACCCTCGAAGCCGTCACCCCGCTTAGTCCTCCCGCACCCGTCAGGTTCGCCCGCGCCCACAGTTCGTCGTGGCCCGTGTTAACCCCGCGCGTTTGGCACCAACTCGTCGGGTCGCCCGACTCCTGCTCTACTCACCTCTTACTTCGCTCGTGTGCCGACCCTTGCTGATTGCGCAACCTCGAGCTTCCAACAACTGGTTAAGAGAGCTAACTAATCGCGCAGCCGAAATTTATAGCGTGCATGCMTGCGTGAAGAACACGGGATCACCAGGACTTAGAAGGGAGATTAGGGAGGGAGTGTCTGCGTTCTGCATGACCGGGCCGCGCCATGGGGGACGTAGCCACTCTCCACGCATCGGTCTGATCAGGCAGTCCGTAGCTACAAAAACGCAGCAAARGAAAGAGAAGGAGGGCGGGAAAGACGAAGCGCAAGAAGAAAGATATAGTTACAATGACGCCAGCCCAAAATTACAGTTACACACCCGATTAAAGGCGCCGACTAATCAGAATTTCGTTGCAGCCGCATAAAGAAGTGAGTAAGCAAAAAGGCGTCGCGCGGCAAAAGAAAGTCCTAATTACAAAATTCCTAAATTCCTAACTAATGCGAAAAAGCAGAAGTACAGGTTCCGGAGGGGAAGTCCGAAATTCCGAGAGCCATCGGGGCTCGACAAAATTCGAAAAAGGATTCAAAAAAAAGAAAATTCAAAAAGAACGAAGCAAATTCCCGCGAGATGCCCGCGCCCAAAGAGTTCTAAAACCGAACAAAAAGGAAATGGCGTCATCATTTATTAATCGCGCGCCTGGCGGCGCGCCAGCCATCCGACCAATCAATCACCCGTCCCGGGACATGCCCAGCTCCGAACTCAGCCAACCGAAAAGAATCGACGCAAAAGACGAAGAAGCGAGGGTACTGATGCAATTTCCCGTCCATCCCAATCTCCCGGAATTGGCCCGACCTTCCCAGCTTAGGACCCCTCATCGCTATCGCGCAGGAAATTGCGCGGTGCGGAAAGTGGTTCGTCACATATGTGACGCCAGGGGGTTCCAATATTAGTAAGCTCCTGCTTGCTTGTTGACACGTGTCGATTTCTCTAATCGATCGTCACGCGGAGCTCTTCTCTCTATGCCACTTACCGTTCGAATGAGTGTGGACGTCGTCCAATCGTGGCAGCACTGCTCTACTACTGATTCCTCAGCGAGGGCCTRACAATCCAAGGAGGGGATAACACATGTCGCCGTTATGACACGTGTCCATCAGTCGTGCATCGGCGAGCGTCGGGGAGGGGAAAGGGAAGACGATACATGGAGGGGTGGCGAGGGGGAGGGTTGATGGGTAGCGGGGGAAGGAAGCTCTCCATTCCGGCCACCGTCTCAGGAAGTTCCTGATAGCGAACGATCCGGTGGAAGCGGGGGAATCGGTTGCCTGTGTGGGGGAGGGACGCGAGGTAGTCGGGGTAGAGGGTGGTGAAGGTTCGGAAGAGGGCCGCTCGAAAGTGATTGTGGTTCTCGCATGCGGGGATAGTCCCCGTAATCATGCAGTATACCTTGATCATATTGTGGCCTCACCACGCCGCACTAAGGAAAAGGATATGGAGGCAGAAGACAGGGCGGGCACATCGGGTGGAAGTGTGGGGATGAATAGTGACAGCGAGACGGGTAGTGTAGAAGAAGCGGAAGGTATCGATTGGGAAGGGATTGGGGGGGGAAAGTGACGCGGGCGGTGATCTGGCGGAAGGAGAGGTGATCAAGGGAACGGCGGGATAAGGACCGGGGACGAAGCCCGATGCCCCGCATTGGTACGTGGACAAGTTGATGGGCGGTCGGTGGTGGAGGGGGAGGGGGATCGGCTCCGTCTCCGTCTTGCTGGTGCAACCGAAGTCTCGACAGCTGTCTCTCCATCCTCAGGCTTAGGTGGCTCTGGATCCCGGGCCGGATCGTCGGTGAGGGGCTGGCCGGCTGCGCTGGCGAATTCCAACTGTCTCTTCCCGTCCGCGATTTCTTCTCTCTTCTGCGCCTGGGCCTGGGCCCGAGCCTCGTCACGCACCTCCTCTTCAAATCCTTCGTACTCCGACTCCTCTACTTCCTCCTGATCTTCTTCTTCTTCTTCGTCATCGTCTTGTTCTTCCTCCTCCTCCTCCTTACTTTGCTCCCCTTCGCTGTGCTCACTGTAACTCCCTTCTTCGGGAGTTTCTTCCTCGTCGGCCTCTTCTTCGGCTTCTTCTTCTTCTTCCGAGCTTCCTTCTTCCACTTCAATCTCTATCTCCTCGTTCTCGRAAGTCGTCCGATCTTGGAAGAAGGCGAGATCGACTATCTCGTGCGGGTCCAGGTAACCGCGCTGTGATGGGGGGTTGCGGTGGCTCCCCGGTTCCTCCAAGCACGCCGACCACTGAAGATATGGCGCCAAGGTCCGCGTAAGAACGTGCGGGACCGGGCTGTCGTCGCTCTGCGAGACGATCTCAAGAGGGAGATCGTTGGCCAGCTGTGCAAGGGGGACCGTTAACTGGTGTACGATCGGTTGGTGGTGATCGGACCGCACCGATCAGAAGAGGAATCCGAGCAGATCGCCTTCCAATTCCGTTCGCCACGCCTGGATGATAAGAAGCTCCAGGTACTCGGCCCACTGGCGGTGATCTCCGTGTTGCGTCCACGTGACCCTTACTCCGACCWGACACATCGATAGCTCAACCAAGTGCTCTCGCCAACGTCTCCACTGCAGGGGATCAAGGAGGGGGACAGCAAGTGATTCCAGTCGAAAGGAAAGATGCAGATGGACTCCGGATTGCCAGAAAGTGGGGAAGAAGGAGGGGAGGTCGAAGGTGGAGATCGGGGATGGGTTCATTGAGGACGGGGGAAGGGGATGAGTTCCGGGAGCACCACCGCTGGCTCGTGCTGGAAGGTTCGGATCCCGTCGAAATCGACGTCGTCCGCGGGAAAAACGTTGTCTCCGTGGGGCGTGAGCCAATGATTCCACTCCGCCGCCAACTGTTGTGCCCAAAGTTGGAGCGTCGTCTTGATAGTTGTATGCCGCAACGGGCTGATGGTGCTGATGTCGCCACTGAAGGCGACCACCGTAGACACATGGCTGATTCCCGTARCCGATCGCCGATGAACTCCTACCGCTTCTGCTAGAACAACCGCCCGGGGACTTCCTGCAAAACGAAACTCAGCAGCCGCGTATACTCCCTGGGTACAGAAGAATTGCGCAAGTCGTCGAAGATCTGGATTGAGCCGTGGATGATGAACTTGTCGAATCGYCGAGATGTGACACCGTGGCACCAGCAGAGAATTGTCGAGAGCTCGCTCCGTAAGAAAACTCATGGCGATGACGATGGAGACGGAGTAATGGAAAGAGAACGAGAGGGAAATAGAGAGACAGGCGATAAGCAGTCGTCGTCCTCTTCCACAGCGGAGGAGGAATCGAATGAATGCGAAGATGGAGAAGGAGGGAGGGGACGAAGGTAGGACACGTGGCGGATGATCGGACGAGCTGATCGGTTGCCGGAGACTTCAGGCCGGTTGCCGGAGACTTCAGGAGCAAGCCGCACGGTGTTCACGCCTTTGGGTCCGAGCTCAATCACGCGGAATCGCCCGAAGAATCGTGGCGCTAGCTTACGCTGGCGAGCACATTTCCTTATCTGCACGATATCCCCCAATTTGTACTGGGGCCGTGGACCCACGTTTCCGTTCCGGGTCTCGTAGCTTCGGACTTGGCGGCCATGGGCCAACTCGGTCATTTTCTGGCGTTTTCGGGCTAGCYTGGGGAGGGACCGTTCCATTAACTTYAAGTGCCGCTTGGCCTTGTCTCGCGTCGTGGCCCTTGTGGGCTGGCGGTTAAGCGTTGATTCGTCGGGGAGGCTTGGTATCGAAACACAAGTGATGCTATTAGTCCTTAATTGGAAGGGGCTCAGGCCCGTCGATTCATGGGGCGTTCCGCAATGGACTGCTAGGATGTGGTCGACGATATCGGGCCAGGGCCTCGGGTCCCGTGCCGCGATGTTTCGTCGCAACGCTGTCTTTATCACCYTGTTGGCGTTTTCTACCAACCCATTAGATTGTGACATGTGGGGCGCGGTGTTCCGCACAGCAACACCGTGTATGACCAGGTTCCTGAATACTTCCCCCCTGAATTATGCCCCGTTATCGGTCAGGATCTCTTCCGTATCCTGGTGCATCCCGAGAAAACGGTTAACATACCGCGCGATTTCGTCGGCTTGTCGCGTGCGACACGGGTAGGCCTCGATCCATTTCGAGAAATGGTCGACGAATACCAAAAGGACTGAATATTCACAACTATTAGCACCAGGGGGTACTACGATATCGGTAGTATCCATACTCACCCTTTGGAACGGCCGCTCAACTACCGTTGGAACTATCGATCTTGGGAGCTGGATCGGCGCCTTGTCCGCAGCACAGACTTGACAGTTTGCGACGATGAATTTTACATCGTCTCGAATATTGGACCAATACCACTCATTTTTATCGATTGCTGATTCGGTAATCCGTACGGCAAAGTGGGCTGTCGTTTCTTCATGTGCCGTCTTTACCCAGTCGTACCTCATGAACGGATGTGGTACAACCATCCAAATCCCACTACTGTCCGTTTTCCGTTTTTCTAACCTACCCTCTATCCATCGATAATCCTGAGCCCTTTCATTAGCCCTCCTCCGATCTTCCTTGGTGAAATCCTGGAGGGGGTTACCAACTAAGGTGGCAATCAAAGCGATGTCGGTCCATACTTCGGCCCTTCGAAACTTTCGGGTCTTTTCCAACCCTTCTGACGTGGCATCTAGAAAGCGAGCCTCGGTCGAGATCTTGTCGACCCGACACAAGGGGCATAACCACGGTTTACTGTCATTTCGGTATTGGATGCATGAGCCATGGGCTCGTGCGACACACTGTCGGCAGTCTATCCATTCTGCATACCCTTCCCCGTCAGGACGCATGGAGACTGAGTATACGCGAGAAATTGCTTCGCAAAAATAGCAAAATTTATCAAGCAGGGAGAGAATAGACGAAGAGGAGATGGGAGAAAGGGGGGTAGTGAGGTTACCTCCGTCACCCATTGCCACCGGTCTGCTTCTTGCCACGTGGGAGAACTGCCACTTGTCCGTACTTCGGCCCGTTTGCGGGTTCTGACTCCTTCCACGGGGTGATTTCCTCGCCCTTCGGTACTTTAGCGGGCCGATGCAGACGTGTCAGTCCGTCCGCGTTGCCGTGCCTTTCTGTCTTCGGGTGGATGATGTCGAAGTCGTATTCCTGTAGTCGGACCGCCCAACGTCCAATCATGCCAGTGTAATTAGTGAGCTTCTTCAAGGCCAGCAAAGGCTCGTGATCCGTCACGAGGCGGAACTTCTACCCATAGAGATACGGATGGAAGTGCTGAATTCCCCAGACTACTGCATAGCATTCGCCTTGGGGTGCTGAGTCATTCCTCCGCTCATCTGGCACCGTGCGAGACGCGTACTCGATGACGTGTTCGCGACCATCGTTCCTCTTCTGCGCTAGAATAGCGGAAATAGCTTCCGGTTGCCAGTCCGTAATAAGAATGAACTGTTTCGAGGGGTCCGGTCGGATCAAAATAGGTGTCGTCGCCAGAGCGTTTTTGAGGGTCGTGAAGGCCTGTTCACACTCTGCGTCCCAAATGAGAGGCTGGTCCTTTCGTAACAGGTTCGTTAGTGGCCGTGCGATCGCGGCGAAGCCTTTGATGAAACGGCGTTACGGCGATAGTACGATGCCAACCCCAAGAAGGCTCGAACCTGCGTCAGCGACGTGGGAACTGGAGCTTCTCTCACCGCCGCGACCTTTCTCGAGTCAGGCCGCAATCCTCCACGTGTCACGACGTAGCCCAAGAACGAAATTTCCGAGAGGAAAAATTCGCTATTCTCGAGTGCGATCTTGAACCCAGCGTCCCTCAATGCTCCCAGCGTCCACTCAATGTGTTGTGCATGCCCATGATAGGTCTCCGAGTAGACAAGGATGTCATCCATGTATACAATCACGCAGAAGTTGATCATTCCCTGAGTTAGCCGTGTCTTGTTGACGAAGTTCTGGAATGTCATGTTCATCGCTCGCTGAAACGTGGCAAGCGCGTTGCAAATCCCCATCGGACACTGAACCCACTGCCACGTGCCCTCGAACAGCACGAAGGCCGTCTTTGGCCGATCTTCCTCCTTAACCAGAATGTGATGGAATCCATGCCGAATATCAAATTTGCTAAAATAATTAGCGCATCCAATCGCATCCAGCAAATCATCAATCCGGGGGAGGGGATACACATCTTTAATCGTGATTTCATTCAGTTTGCGATAATCGATGCATATACGAATTGATTCGTTTTTCTTCGGTACTAGCACTAATGGAAATGACCATGGTCCGATGGCAGGTTCAATCCACCCGCTTGCTTCGAATTCCCGAATTCGTTCGAAAGTCTTTTTCCGTTCTATCAGGGAGTATCGGTAAGGCTTGCAGTGGATGGGGGAATGATTTCCCGTTTGAATTTCGTGTTGAATAACCAACGACAAGCCAATGTCTGTGTCGGTCACGCTAATCGCTCCCTGATATTCTGTCAGAATGCCTGCAATCAAATGGTGAATCTCATCAGGTACGTACTGTGGGACATGTAACTCAAATAGYTGATCCCAGATCCGTTCGTCGATCTGTTTCGTGCGCGCTTGTTTCGCCACATCGGGCGGTGGCGCGGAGATGAACGAATGGTCCGATCGCCAAGAGAACACCGTGGCCATCATCTGGGCATCTTCCTCCCGGATGGCCACGTGTCCTTCCGGGGTGATCCCATCGCAGATATCTTGCCATGGCACCGTTTTAGTTGCAATCTTTATTCCGAGTTCGTCTGATTCGGCCTCGAGACGCCCAGGGGGTTCCAAAGAGCTGGCCTCCGCCCCTAGACGTAACAGTCGTACCTCTTTTGCAGGTGTCAATAGGGACTTTGGTAGATCTGTTATATCGCAATAGTGTTTCTTGTCGTTATATCGGGCGAGGAGAGGGGAGATTCCTTCGTACAGGGTTTGAGGGGGTTCCAAAGAATCGACCATCCTCGAAATCTATACGAGGGGTTCTCCCAAAATCATCGCCTTGGTTCTTTGGATGTTCCGATTAGTTAAATGCATTGTTCTTGCGATCGTTCTAGGCGGCGGGTAATAAATACGCTATCGCGCTAGCTTCAAGATTTCTGGATCATTTTTGTCACTGCTGTCCACATCCTTCGAAGATGGCTCATCGTCTGCAGAGTCTTCCTAGGCGATCATACGGAGAGTCCCTGCTAACATCGGCGAAACTCGCGGAACTGCGTTGATGGTAGTACGAAGGGTCAATCTCATCGGTATAGCATAGAGCTTTCCTCCTGTATTCCGGAGGATGATTTACCTTCGCTCGAAATCCAGGTTCGCTCGTAATGCCACAAGAGCGGGAAGTCCAAAAAGAACGTCGTAGGTATTTACGTCTAACCCAATCGGAAAGCGACATTGGAAAATTTTCCCACTGTTTTAATCTTTTCTTCGTCTGTYGAAACGAGTTGATCCTTTTCTGTAAGCATGATCAGGTCGTTTTTCCTACCTGCCCTCTCAACTACTCTCAGTGAGATAGCCAAAACACCAGCTCCCGAATCAATGATTGCGYTGTACGAAATCCCCCAGATTTCAATATCGCATTCTGCAGATTTCCACGRGATGGGTTTAATTCGCAAGAAATGGTCATCCTTCTGTATTAATCCCACCCGTATTGGATCCGTCGCGCCAGCCCTGTTTTCTTCTGGCATGGGACTTTTGGCTTTTACGTTCATGGCTCGGGTGAGGGCGAATTGTTTTCGGTTCGCCTTACAGTGTTGTAGCATCCGCTCATTAGCTTGCTCTGAGATCGAGAGCAGATTGCCGATCGGAAGTGGAATCCGATGATCCAAGGCTCTGATGATGTTCAGCACGTCGATTTCCCCTGTGACGAAGGTGGGTCCTCCCGACTCCATTTCTTCGGGAGAAGGTCGCCACTCCGCCACTTCCTTCGGTTCCGGCGCTGGTCTGATCATTCCAATCATTCCAAGCCCAGGATATCCAAGCGATACATACTGATCTAACGGGATGAGCTCGGCGGCTTCTTCTGTGGTTGCCAGCGCACTTCCCCCAGCTTCTATTTCTTCCATCAGGGCTCCCACTCGTCCTGGTCCGTTAGCGATAGGAGCTGCGGCCATTGGTGCAACTCCAACCCGTTGTTGCGGGGGTCGGTGGGGGCAATCACGGGCTAGATGCCCTGGTTGGTGGCATGCGTAACAGACATTCAGATTGCTTGCGGCTCCTCCGAGAACAGGCGTCGGGGCCAGTCCTTGTTGAATCGGAGGGGCACGCACCGCGATGGGCCTCATGTTTCTCATCATGGCTTCCAACCGAGCGTTGTGCTCCCGCTGTTCTTTTTTGCTTTCCTGGATTAGGCTAATTAACATCTTGGTTAGTTAGAAGATGGCAGTGGATTCATTTGTTCTTACTAGATTCTCAATGGGTGGCGGGGGAGCCGTTCGTACAGGTGTTGGTATCACAGGAACAGGGACACTCGGGATCTCACTTGGGGTTGGTCGTTTAGGGCCTACCTGTTCTAGATAGGTGACTGGGCCAGACACAAATCCCATATTTTCAAACTTGTTCTGTAATGCGGCCARCTCAGCTCTCGCCCTCGCAAGTTCGGACGAATCTCCTTCCCTAGAATACTCTTCTCCTTCCAGGAAGTTCGCCGCGAACATTCGTTCCATTTCTTCTGSAGCAGCCATGATCTGTTGCAACGTATGGGTGATGGGGGAAAATTGCTTTCGCAACTTCGCCCTTATCGTTCAGCTACGAAGCCCATCAATAAACAAATCTCTCCCGACTTGCTCGCCTCGCTCAGTCTTCACAAACATCCGGTAGAACTGGTTTCGGTATTCTGTGACGGACTCGAGAGGTTTTTGCATGCTTGCTCTGGATGAACGTCATCAAATCAATTCAGAAAATCCCGTTCGAAGGTCGGAAGATCAACCCATACATAGGTASTAARCCAATGATGAGCGTCTCCTCCTAATCAAGCAGGAATGTTTATCTGCGCTTCGTTATCGTCGTATTCCTGTGCTCGAAGCGTGGCCAGCCATGCTCCTGCGAGATGATGTGTTGGGTCGAATAGATAAAGATCAGGTGGCGTCATGGGAGCCCGCGCTCGTGGGGCAGGTGGATTAGGATTTGGTTGATTAGCATTCTGTTGCGGATCCGGGTTTTGTACATTAGCAGCCATGTTGGCTGCCCGTCGATAAGCCGATCTACTTCGGGTGATGACAAGGTCGCGTCTATGCGCGTTTCGAGGTCGAGGTCGCCCTCGGTTAGCCAGATCACCCAATTAGCGTGCTATTATTCCCAAGACCCGGCCACGTGTCGGGCTCCGATACCAACCTCACGCCCAGCGCGACTTCCTGATCGGAGTAGRATGTGGGCCTGGAAGTGCGAAAAAGGGGTGTGCCAAGGATTTTTGGGAAAGTGGAGTCCCAGGTCAGAACTGAGATCTCCTGTGGCCGGGTTTTTCAGGGGCACGGGTGCAATTGGCGAAGAGGGCGGACCGCCTCAGGTCATAACCGGGATGTTAGGCGTGGGTTTCCTAAGGCCGGTCGAGCCACTGGTTCCGAGGACGGTGATTTGTGGGAGGGTCCCTTCGGGGTGGATGGGAGTCCGATGAGTCAAGCCGTCGGAAGCTGCCACGAGGCGCCGGTCGTCGCGCGTTCGGGTTAGGCTTCCGGAATTCCGGAATTCTCTGATCACCGCGTCGTCGGCAATTTCCGCAGGGTGTGCTGGGCCAGTAGGGGGCTATGGCCGGCCACGGGATGACGCTGAGCCGATGATACGGAAGAAGAAGTCGAAAGGGAGGGAAGCTAGTGGAGATAACAACAAATCCGGGGTGGATAAAATAGTAGGTATGGTCCGAGGAGGGGAAATCAGAGCACCGGGGATCGCTGGTAGTGGCGCAGTGAAATTCCCGAGGGCACGGTCGATTCTCGGTTAGGCAAGGGTACCTCTGTCGAAGGGCTTCGTTTATCCAAGGGGTGAAGTAATCCGGATCGTATGATGAGTCGGAATTCCAGGATCGCGTCATTGTGTCATTGCGGAGTTATGAGTTGCCTAAGGGCGGGTCCGTGGCGATCGCGATCGCCTCGTGCGAGCACGTGCAGGCCACGCGAATTACGGCGGGCGTACGCGTGTTCATGCGGAACGACTGCACCGTCGCGGACCCCGGGTCCCGGGATGGCCGCGTCCAATCAGACGGTGCGTATGTGATCGATGGTCCCCTTTGGGATTGACGAATCGACGCCCGGGGATAAGTGTAAGTGCACAACTCAGATCGCGTTTTATACGTGTCCTCGCGCAGCGTTCGTCGAGCCCGGCATCCGATCGTCTAATCACTTCGTGCTTGTTTGAGCATGCAAGATGCAACAACCACAATCAGCTCAATCAAAAGATATGCGAAGACAAGGACAGGATTACCAATTGCACACAATTCCTATTCTACTTACGAGTGCATCAAATGCAACAAACAAAAGCAAAGACAAGGATCCGGTAGAAAGATAGGCAATCAAACTTGGCATCTATACATCCATTCATTCAGCAATCATACACGATGCATCAGAGGTGGAAATCGCAAGGACAAGTGTGAGCAAAAACCCAAGTCCAAACTCCGAAAAACAGAAATCGGGCAGATCTCCCAGAGCCGAAATCAAAATTTATATACACGAGACAGGAGGGAGAAAAGATAAAAGAAACAGCAAATCCGCGTCCATCAACCTCAACTCTCCCTTCCTCTCTCTTCTTCTCCGATGCGGACAGTCCGTCGTCGCGCACCAACCCTCGAAGCCGTCACCCCGCTTAGTCCTCCCGAACCCGTCAGGTTCGTCCGCGCCCACAGTCTGCCGTGGCCCGCGTCAACCCCGCGCGTTTGGCACCAGCTCGTCGGGTCGCCCGACTCCTGCTCTACTCACCTCTTACTTTGCTCGTGTGCCGACCCTCGCTGATCGCGCAACCCCGAGCTTCCAACAGCTGGTTAAGAGAGCTAACTAATCGCGCAGCCGAAATTTATAGCGTGCATGCATGCGCGAAGAACACGGAATCACCAGGACTTTGAAGGGAGATTAGGGAGGGAGTGCCTGCGTTCTGCATGACCGGGCCGCAGCGTGGGGGACGTATCCACTCTCCACGCATCGGTGTGATCAGGCAGTCTGTAGCTACAAAAACGCAGCAAAAGAAAGAGAAGGAGGGCGGGAAAGACGAAGCGCAAGAAGAAAGATACAGTTACAATGGCGCCAGCCCAAAATTACAATTACACACCCGATTAAAGGCGCCGACTAATCAGAATTTCGTTGCAGCCGCATAAAGAAGCGCGTAAGCAAAAAGGCACCGCGCGACAAAAGAAAGTCCTAATTACAAAATTCCTAAATTCCTAACTAATGCGAAAAAGCAGAAGTACAGGTTCCGGAGGGGAAGTCCGAAATTCCGAGAGCCATCGGGGCTCGACAAAATTCGAAAAAGGATTCAATAAAAAGAAAATTCAAAAAGAACGAAGCAAATTCCCGCGCGATGCCCGCGCCCAAAGAGTTCTGAAACCGAACAAAAAGGAAATGGCGTCATCATTTATTAATCGCGCGCCTGGCGGCGCGCCACTCATCCGACCAATCAATCACCCATCCCGGGACACGCCCAGCTCCGAACTCAGCCAACCGAAAATAATCGACGCAAAAGACGAAGAAGCGAGGGTACTGATGCAATTTCCCATTCATCCCAATGTCCCGTAATTGGCCCAACCTTCCCAGCTTAGGACCCCTCATCGCTATCGCGCAGGAAATTGCGCGGTGCCGAAAGTGGTTCGTCACAGGGATGTTCGTTTCACCTATGGCAATACACGGTTACAAATGGATATAGGATCGCCCAACCGAAAGTACACATAAATGACCAAATTGGGTTACCATGGGACAAAGACTCTCCCCTCAAAAGAGAGGACCTACATAATCTCAACTGGGCGTCATATTCATGGATCCAACCCACCAATCTGAGAGCTCTGCAATGGCAGATCATCCACAGATGCCTCCCTACCCTGGACTGGATCACATCCCGAATGGACCTGGAAACCCGGGGAGAGTTGTCTCCACTGTGTAGCTACTGCGGAGGAACTAGATCCCCCAAAAGAAGAGCCACCTTGGAACGTTGTCTTTTAGACTGCCCAATGGTGGCCCAACTGTGGAGTTGGTGGGACGTTGCTTGGCATTACCTCACAGGGACACATATTCCATGGGATATCAAAGTAATCCTATTGGGGGAAAAGACTCCACAAATGGCCCGATGGACGCCCTATATGTCCAACCTGTTCACCATCACACGCCTACCAATGCTTATGGCGGCCTGGCGAATGAGGTGAGCACACGAACACAAACAGCACACGTTCGGGTTTATGGAAGCACGAGCATCAATCGTGCAAACAATAACGGTCAGTACCCATGCAGCCTAGCAAGAGCTTCGAAACATGCTGACAAACGAACCGGATGCAGTCAAACGGAACGACCTCTCACTCAACTTCCGCACATGATGGGTGGATAACGAACAGAGGCTCTGTGAACTGGACCCGGACAACCAGCTGCGATGGAAACAGTGGCTATTAACGGAGCCCCGATGTGAACGATTGCCACGAAACCACTTTGATATCCATTTCCAACCGACTAACTTTATCCTTGTTACAAATTAGCGGTCTGTATTTTACTATTTTCGGATCTCATGAACCCATGAACCCCCTGCGTGCCCCTGCCCTTCCTTTGCGCGCGCCCC